CCCTACGGTTACGCAAGCTGTAGTCCAGTCATAGCCGTGAGTAAGGACTAGGTAGGTAGGGAATTGTACTCCACCAGGTCATCACACAAGCGATAAACACCCGGTGACACAAAGGGCCACCATGCGGATGAGGATTTCCCGTGGAGGTGTCCAGGAAACCCCGTTCAGCCGTTAGGCCATATTTCAGGCCCAGCTATATTTAGGCTTCAAAATCAGTAAAATGTGCATCCCACAAGAGGAAGACGAGATAATTGCTAGTAAGGAATATAACGCGTGTAGCACTTATTTCGAAGAACATTTCAATTATAGTACATTTCAAAGCATAAAAAGAGGCGTACGACAAAGATGTGTACTATCCCCTGATTTGTTTTCAATATACAGTGAATATATAATGAGATCTTTAATTGGTATGCCCGGAATTGTGGTTGGTGGGCACAATATAAACAATTTACGTTATGCTGATGACACAGTCTTGATAGCAACAAGTCAGAAAGAACTACAGGAAATGATAGATATTGTGGTGTTAAAAAGTGGAAGAATGGGCCTAAGTTTGAATAATGGGAAGACAGAAGTAATGGTGGTATCAAAGAAACGAATCATTCCTAAATGTGTAATAAAAGTCGATGGTGTTATTTTAGGACATTAGATGGAAGATGCATAACTGAGATCAGAAACAGAATAGGACAGGCAGAAACTGCATTTTATAAAATGAAAAACATCTTGTGCAACATATCCTTGTATTTGAGAGTTAGAAAAAGAATTCTTGCTTGCTACATACATCCAGTTTTAACATATGGCTGTGAATCCTGGACAATCGCTAGGCAGGCCAAACAATTTCTTAAGGCCTCGGATATGTGGTTTTACAGAAGAATGCTTAGAATACTGCGGACCGCCAAAAAGAGCAACCAAGAGGTTTCGAAAGAAGCGGGAGCTTGAAGACAACTTATCACAGACATCAGAAGGAGACAGTTATCTTTTTTTCGGCCATGTTATGAGAAGAGGGAAAATAGAACATGTTGTGACCAGTGGAAAAATCTATGGAAGGAGGGATAGAGGAAGACAATGAGAGAAGATTCTTGACAGTCTTGTAGCATGGCATGGAGGTGTGTCAGCACACGAACTGATACATGCTGCAGTAAATCGTGGATTATGGAGAGGCATGATCGCCCACACCTGATGATGATAATGATGAGCACTTATTTCAGTAGTATTTCAACATTTTTTTTTTCAGGTGACGCCCTTTGAATATATGACAGGACCACCCCCACTTAAAAAAAAAAAAACATTTTGAAAGAATACGACAGAAAGAAAATATAGAGAAATATGCCATGCAATACATTTGGTAGCCTATTTAATTATCTGTATCCGTATTCACAAAAGAGATTGTTTTGAAATAATATCCAGCCTAGTTGTATTATAACACTTTAGGGCAACTGCCAGCTAGGATAGTTAATGTTTATTTATTTATACTGTTCGTACAAATTAACCGGCAGCCTCACCGTAACAAATAGAGCCTTAAGATTTATTCTGACAATTGCGGAAACGCTTTCTCCACCCATCGTCGTGTCACAATGAAAACAAAGTAGACCTTCGCCACCCCCCCCCCCCTTTTTTTTCCCCTACTAACAACAAAACAGTCAGTCTTTTTGTGTTGTTCAGGCCAGTTATATAGTATAAAGTCGCAGGTTTTGGATTAATCGAGTAACAGAAAGTGTATTGATCGGCACTCATAGAAAGAAGTAGAAAGATAGAAGAATACACTAGAAAAAAAAATCGAAAGAAGCTATAGTTATCGTGCCGGGAATTGAACCTGTCACCTCCAGACGGCGTCTGCGCCTCGCCATGAATACAAGCACTACGAACATGGTCAACTAGGCACCCCCAAAAAAGGTGTCTTATTGGCCATGTCTATCGTACAGTTTGAAATCCACAACTGTGGAATACGGACAAAATGCATTTCAACCCATTGAAATGGCACCACAGGTTACAGAAATTTATATTAACGAAGCAAATGTCGAAAAACAATCACAGCAACAATTTACGAACACAGTAAGACCTTATTGTTTTGTCTAGAATTCACAATCATTTAAAAAAGGTATTTGATTGGTAGGTTCCGGTGTGTATACGCTATTCCTATAAATAAACAGAGGGGGAACCTTTGAGGCCGTTAAATATTATGAATTAATCGAGTAACAGAAAGTGTATTTATCGGCTCTCATAGAAAGAAGTAGAAAGATAGAAGAACACACTAGACAACATAAAAATCGAAAGTTATAGTTACCGTGCCGGGAATTGAGCCTGTCACCCCCAGACGGCGTCTGCGCCTCGCCATAAATACAAGTGCACTACGAACATGGTCAACTAGGCACCCCCAAGCTTTTGCACAGCTTCATTACACAATTATTCAGTTCACTTCTTATCTAAACACTGAGAATTTCACAATCCCTTTTTTTCCCACGCAAGGGGGATAGCCCAAGTGTTATACATATTTCCACTGCATTCGACGCAATTGTGGTTCTTCAATAAGTAGAAGGCGAACGTCGATAAAATAAAATAAAAACTCGTGATACAGGAGGGGTCGATGAATTTATATAAGAAAGTAGCAGAAAGAATGCTGACGATAAAAAGTGAAGAAGAAAGCAAACAGCTTAGGGACCTTTCAGATAAAGGTAAAAAGCAACTTTTCGTTGTCTGAAGCCACACCCTAGCTGTTATCAGAGGCCTTAATATAATAAAACATATGGGTTCAATGGAGTTTCTGTGACCTGTCTCCTGGGTGATCCTCATCCCAGTGGTGGCACTTTGTGTCATCAGGTGTTTGTGGCTCTGTGTGATGTCCTGGTGGGGTTGAACATCAATAAACGCAGCAGATACAAGGCATTTGATCCATCAGCATTTAATTGATATAATCAACATAGGACTGACCACCTTTGTAACTTCAAAACTGTGGCAGAGACCTTACATATTTTTTAGGTAAGTGCCCATCTATAAAATTACGAGTTGTAACTATATTCTTTACGTCCTTCTTAGGACGTAATTTTTTGTTATTTGAAGCCCCACTCTGGCTTTTGCCAGGGGCCGCAATATAGGCAGGCCATCAATATGGCCAATTGTCTGAACGCGGTTTCTGGGACCTCTCCACGGTGATCCTCATCCGCATGGTGGCACTTTGTGTCATCGGGTGTTTATCGCTTGTGTGATGTCCTGGTGGTGTAGAAAGTCAGTCAGTCAGTCATCTATAATGTGAGGAGCCCATTTCAAGCAGGGACCTAGATTGCAGGTCACTCCATAGCCACTGGATGCTCCAATACGGCTGAATGGATAACTCCTGTTGAATTTTTAGCCCATGAGATGTTAACCAGAAGGACTGCATATTATAAATATACTGTTTCCAATCTCTAAATCAATGCTGACTTCTTATTTCTTACTGCTTTCCACGTATTTTTAGAACAAAGCATATGTTCTTTATCCACAACATTCAGATGCATGTTTTAAGACAACAAACAAATTAGCACCGACTTATAATTTCTTATCCCGACTTCCTCTTTACCCAGCATCTACAACTTTTTTTTTATTGCAGTAACTCATTTTATAAGTTTCTAGCCTTATTTTGGTTTTTTCTTCTATGCCCAGGGTGTCACTGGTATCCTGAATCCAGGTGGATGGCCTCTACCTCTTCATCCATGAGCATGATGACCTCCTTTCCAGACATCAGTGTTTTATTACAGCACGGCACTATGGGAGGGCATCAGAATGAAGTTCTTCCTCACTATGGCATAAAGCCAGGACAGTACTGTAGAGATCATATGTTGTCCATCAATCATACTCTCTTTCTCTCTCTCCGCCTTCCTCATTTGCTCCAAAGGAAACGTAACACAAGCACGTTTGGATCGAAGAACAGTGAGGCATATAACCTCCATTTCTGTTCTTTTCAAAACATTATAGCATTTATTACAGCCAAAGTATTCCAGTTCAGGGAACCAGACCTCCAGGGCCTGCTGGGAAGACATCCGACAGTCCTTGACTGGTAGAGGAGGGGAATGGAACAAAGCCAGCAAGGAAACTGTTGATAAAGTCAGACGATCTCTCTAGCAAACATCTACACCTGCAAGGTAGAAAAGGAGCAACTAAAATTTCAGTTTAACAGAATGACAGTCTATGAGAAAGTCTCCCTCCATGTTACTGGACATTTGTATAGAACAAATTTTCTCTCTGAGTAATAAGCTACTTCATGACAAAACTGGTGTGAAATCTCTTGGGGATCAAATCGGCATTACAACAGAGTATACACATCTGAAGAGACTTATTCAGCCAGCAGCTGAGTGTCTGTCTAGACAATGTTAAATACATAAGGGAAAAGACAGGCAGGACTTTTAATCAATTTGCAAACTGGCACTATCAGTTTGGACTCCCTTCTGAAAAAAAGGGACAAGAGCGGTGTGGGAATGCCCCAAGCATAGTGATGTCGACTGTGTTTTTCATTCACTTGCCTAGTGTTTGCTGACATTGTTTTTTTTAATGCTTGTTCATTTTCATCTTTTTTACTACGTCTTTATGTTGTGTGTGTGATTGCTCGCTTGTGAGTGAGTGTGGGAGAGAGAGAGAGAGAGAGAGAGAGAGAGAGAGAGAGAGAGAGAGAGAGAGAGAGAGAGAGAGAGAGAGAGAGAGAACTGAATTTCACACTCAAAAGAACCTGTCTTTTCCCATTTAACATACATCCTTCTCACTTTTGTAGTAAGCATCAGAGGAATGCCATGAGAGCAGTTAAGTCGGTGTTCGATTTAATTTATAACCACAGTATTTCTGTTGACATGTTAAAATGTTTTTTCATTCTCATGTTTTCTAGTACTTCTGTATCCATCACAATGACCACAAATTAATACAATACACATTTTATTAAATAAAATAAAACAGAATAATAACAGCATTTTCATTAATTAATGACAAAGATGATTTTTTATTGACAAAAAATGAGGAAAACCCAAGACAAAGAAAAAATGTTATCTCTTCTTGAAACCATATTTCTTCCTTTCATAAAACAAGTCTGTCTTTGCACTGCCAAGGTTGACAATTTTTGGACACCCATCCCTCTGGGGAAAAAAATGCAAAATGCATGTTAAAAAAAATTATTTACATAAAGAAAAACATCAAATGAAAATATATTTTTTAAGCAGTATTATTACTCCACACTATACTAAACACAATAGGCATCTGTAGTGTCCAAGCCATAATTCCAACGTACCGCGATCGAAACCCACTGCTGGCTGCGTGGATTTTTATCATGGTATGGGGCGTCGCAGATCGACCCAGCCTAAAATAGGTACCAGGATGTATGTCCTGGGGAAGTAAAGACGGCTGATGTAATGCTGACCACATTACCCACTTAGTGCAGATTGGTCTGTAGAAATATGGGTGCTCTTCCTATATGCCCGATGTGCCTAAAGGCGTGAAAAGGAATCTTTACTTTTATACAAAAAAGGGGAACCTGCATATTGGCTAGAATGATTTATTGCCAGTGTAGTGGCTTCTTCTTCTTCTTTCTACTCCTGGAATGCCTTGCAGCTTCAGGGGTGGAAGAGATCTCTAGAACGGCCCTTCGGTTCACTTTGTATATGGTAGTTTTCAGTGTCTCTGTTATTTCTGCGGTCCGTCTTCTGCGTGGCCGACCTCTGGTCTCTTACCACTGTATCTGTACAACATGGCGGCTCTGTGGTGCTATATCTGCTGCCAATCTTGTTACATGGCCAAACCATGTAATTTCTTGTCTACAGGTAAAGTTCAGTATTGGTTCTGTGCCGATTCTCCTGATATCATTGCTCCTAAGTCGATCTTTCCGCGTTACACTTAGCATAGTATGTAAAACATTTCATTTCTGTCGTGACTATTTTCCTTCTGTCTTCTGAAGACAGTGTCCATGTTTGACATTGGCAGCAGAGAGTCAGTAAGAATATTATGTTAAACAGTGTTCTTTTAGTGTTCATATTCACATGCCCGCACTTCAAAATTGGTGCCATTTGGCCTAAAAAAAAACTTGAATGGCTTTATTGCATCTCCACTGGATTTCTTTATTCATTCTTCCGTCTTCTAACAAAAATGCTTTCCAGATATGGTAAATCTTTTGCCTGCTTTAACTGGTTCTTATCAATTTTGAAATTGGTGGTTCTTCCTTTTCTGGAATGTCATCACTTCTGTTTTGTCTACGCTGATCATATCGTAGTTGTCCCATTCTGAGTGGAGCCTATTATTATGTTCTTGTATCTATACTGCTGTTGGTTTTATGATTGCCTGGTCATAGGTGAAAAGCAGTTAATTTAGTAATTCTCCGATATTGTCCTCTTTGCTGATGTTAGCACACAGAGGTATTTCAAAAATTGCCCATTGTCTTATTGGGAATTAAACCTGGATCTCTCAACGAGAGACCAGCATTCTCAACTTTCAACCACCGAACAAGACACCCTTCAATTATTATAAAAAAGTCTGAAAACTAACCCAAATATTCTCTTTCTGTGCATGTGTGTGAGAGAGATAGAGAGAGAGAGCACATGCATAGAAAGAAACTGTGAACAAGCTATCTGAATTTAACACACCATGTCTGGGTTCTGGGGAAGACAAGAATAGACACAATGCCTCCCTAAAAAGCATGTCGTAGAGTCAAATAATTGGGGGCTTTCTTCCAAGTTGGAGTGCAGACGCCCAAGCGACAAGGAACCATTAACTGCACACAAATAAACCAGTTAAATGGATGTTCACACAAAGCCCAAATGCATGCACAACCAGGACCAACTGTCAGAGCTTAGTTTGTGAACAGAGAAGAATAATTTCAAACAGGAAAGAAGCTGACTTCTTATTTAACATACTCACATCTTTCTCCATGATGGTACATTCTTTGCAGTAATAAGCATCTGAGACACCAGGACCTCCACAAATGACACAGCGGCCTTGATAAGAGCCATAGTTGCACTCATCACATATTCTAACCAGTGTGCATGGCCGAACATAAGAGTCACAGATGACACATTTTCCATCACCTAGGCAAGAGAAAAAAAAGAAAGAAACATCATATACATACTCTATGAAACAAAGTGGTATTAAACAAACACACAATCTTATTCTAAGCTAAACAAGAAATGTCTTTGCCGTGGAACCCACAGGGCAACAAAATAGAAAAAGACCAAAACACACATGGATAGGATAATTAGAGACTGAAGTTAAATGTATTTTCATACAAAGAAAACTGTTCGCAAACTGTATGGAAGCAGATTTGCATAATTTACATATGGTCACTAGGCCAAGCCTTATATGGGTCTGAGGAAATTCCTATGAGAAGTTAAAGTGGCCAGCATAATAAAGATATCACTCATACAATGCCAACTAGTCTTTAAAAAAATATAGTTCTGGTATTGTGTGACCAGAGAGCGCTGCATTTCTGATGTTTAAAACCCAAAATGGAGACACATTTTTCATACATGACCTTGGCTACCAGGTCGACTCAGCCTCAAATGAAAAGCAGGGAAAGTCCTTAAAAGTAAAGGCGGTCTGCATGATGCTGATCAAATTACCCATCACGGGCCAATTGTCTATAAAATCTATACATTTTGTATCTCATGCTCAATGTACTACTGGCATATAAAGGCTCCTTGAAATTTTTTTTTGTTAACCATATGCACAATGTGGCAATGCAATGACATGAAATGGGTGCTAATTAAATATGTTTTATAAATTATAATTTCTAAATGCACACACAGAGATTTAACAAAACACAAAGAAGACATGAATTATACTTACATTTCTCACAAAGTCTGCCAATAGCTGGAAGAGAACAAATATAAATGTCAGTAAAATATATATTTTATTCTGGGTGATATAGACAAATTGGGCATCTCTAATTAATTTCCCCTCTTTTACATCCAGTTTTTTTTGGCAATATAAAACACCGTTTTTTTAGAGGGAGTTTTTTCAGTGGTAATGTAATAAACACTGTCAGGTGAGTACCGGCACTTTTCGTTCTAGTTTAGCCCCGCTCCCCGCCGCGCGTAGCGGTAGTCGCCGGAAGTCCGCAATTTAAGTTGCAGAAAGTCTGCATTTTACATGTGACTGAGGCCCTGTTTTGGGTGTGTTTTTGGCCACCATAATATGTGCCCATTATTCGGGGGATAGCCTAATGTTGTTATATTTGAGAGTGGAAAGCAGCAGTAGTGCATTTTGCTAGAAGATTGTCAGTGAATCTAAAAGTTGTAGATCTGAATCCATACGATACTTACTGGGTTCTGAGGCTTTATTTTGGAGAACAAAGATAAACTCACTGCATGCCCCCCCCCCCCCCCCCCCCCTCCTGGAAATCATGTCATAGGAGGTGACTAATTGGGGCTGCTTCCTTCCAAGTTGAAATGCACATGCCTGAGAGGTGGGGAACCAACAATCTACATATAAATAAAGCAGATATGTCAAAACAGATGTACATGCAAAGTTCACCCCCAGAAGTGGATGAAAACCAGACCCTTGCACCTGAGTTTACAGCCGGTGAATTCGCTGGGGAAGAATGTGATCTAGGGTTCCCAGGTCAAACCAGGCTAAAAGTGGTACCAGAATATGTCAAGGGGAAAAAGTGGCCAGCTTTATGATGGTCATATCATCATTGAGTGCCAGTTGGGTATGAAAGTGTTTGTTTAGCACAAGGTTTGATTAAACAATTGTATGAAAAAGGTCCTTTACAGTTAAAGGGTTAGAAAATGGCATTAAAGCAGAGACAATAATGAAATAGGCATGACCATGTTGTCATTAAATGGAAAGATCTAAATGAAGCGGGGGGTGGGGGTACTGTTTAAAGAATAAATCTAGCACTGATAAATTATCAGACACTGAATTATCAGTTAACAACTGATACTGCAGCACTCAGTTCAGGACATTCCCATATTAACTCAATCCTCTAATTCAGCAACCAGCAAAGAGTTCAAATGACGATGATACTAGCAGCAGTTTGATGATACTGATTATATATCGGTCTGCTTTTCCTCTGAGTGTAGATAAGACTGTTTTGCAACTGACTGTAATGAGTGTCGGCTAGATCCCCTGGTTATTCGCCATCCTCCAGCACCATTCTGTATTCTATTCACACAGAAGCTGTTAGGGCTATCCTCTGATAACGGTCCCAAATTATTGAGGCCAAAAAAATATCCTAACAGGGCCTCAGTCACGTGTCAATTGCGGACTTCCTGCGATAATTTGCGGACTTTCGGCGACTACCGCCATCGCTGAGAGTTATCTGCTATGCCCGGGGCTAAACTAGATGGCTGGGACTCACAAACAGCAGCTACCGCATCTCCTGCAGCTTCCTTCATTTGCTCGTGAGTCCTAGCCATTTAGTTTAGCCCTGCTGCATTCCGCCCGTATCGGCGTGTGAGATACGCTTGGCGGTGGCACGGTCGCTGGAAGTCCACAACTGACATGTGATTGAGGCCCTGTTAGGGTATATTTTCAGCCTCGATAATCTGGAACCGTTATTCGGAGGATAGCCATTAGTTACACTGTTAGTGACGGATTACAATTAATTATAAACATAATTTAAACAAGCAATGTATGAAAGCAATGTATGAATGTATGCATTTTAAGCAGAACTATACAGTAATGGGGAAACAGCACTACTATTAATTACTCTTGAGCTGATTCATAAATAATGAAACGTTGGGGAAACGTCAACACAGAAAAAGTAAAAAGTATTAGTGTGTAAACATTTTAATACGTTTTTTGCTTGTGAAAGTTCACAAATTATTATCTGTTCTTATACCGAAAATTAAATAACTAAATTACCAGCCAATGCAGGCATGAAATTAGCCAGCTGAGAGGTCAGTTCTGAAAACAATTTGACCTTAATCCTTATTTGAAAAGTGACACTTCACACCGACGTAGTTGGTTTGGTGACAAAATGAGAAGTGTGAAAAAAAATGTGTCTAGATTTTAATTTTAAATCTAGCTTCTAGCATGTTCGTAAATTGCATTTGATTTTATAATATATAAAATGTTAGGCGCCTCAATGAATAACGCTGCAGATAATTACAAATGTACATAACTAGTATATTTACTTACCAACTCCCGGTTGTTTTCTACAAAATATAAGATCTGGATGATGCTTCGCCAT